TGAACCTGTCATAGGCCCCACTGCCTTGCTGGTCCCCATCCCCTCTTGCCTTCCACATAGGGCAGACCAGCTGGGGCATGCTGCACAGCCCTGCTATGGAGTGCTGGGCAGCCCTGTCAAGGCACTCCAGGCCCTGCCAAGCTTCACCAGGCTCCTAGCCTCCAGGGCAGCCCCACTGGGGCACTCCAGGCCCTGCCAAACAGCCCAGCTGGCGCATGCTAGGCTCCCGGCTTCACCGGGAAGCCCAGTTGAGGTGCTCCCAGTAGCCCAGTTGTGGGGAGTTGGACTCCTGGCCCCCCTGACAGCTTGCTGCCCGCAGCTTTGCCTGCCCCTAGGGCTCCTGCAGCTTGCTGCCCGCAGCTTTGCCTGCCCCCAGGGCTCCTGGGCACCAGCACTCCACTGGGACTCTGGTCCTGGGAATATCCATGGTGCTTCCAGACCACAGATGTTGCCGGACAAGAGATTACTGGTTAACAGAGATTCAACCTGTAGTGATATGCTGTTCCAGGGAGAAAAGGGGCCAATTGCCTGAGATACTGTGATTCAAAGGGATCCAGGGCAGAATCACTGCCAGAGCACCACTCCACATGGCTCTGAGGAGTGGGGAGGCACACCACGGTTGGGGCAGAGCTGAAGATTGGCTGGCCTGGCCTTGCTCCTTCCACCCCTCTTCCCCCACACATACAGCTTGCCCCGGGGCCCATGGTGGCTGTCGGCCCCTCTGTGTAGTTCTTACATAGTGCTTTTCATCAGTCGATCTCAATGCATTTCACAATCTTTGATGTATTTATCTTCACAACACTTTGCTGAGAAGAGGAATTATTATTCCCATTTTCATAGACTGCAAACTGAGGCACAAAGGTCTCAAAGGAGGTCTGTGGAGGTCCTGAGAATTGAGCCTGGGTTTCCCAAGTACTGTAATTTTATTTATCCTATGCCCCAGTTTTCCATCATTAAATGGAGATTATTTGTCTCCACAGGATTTTGTGAGGATAAGATCTTCAAAATGCTCAGATATAATAATGGTGATGAGAGCTGTACAAATAGGGTAGACGGATAGGAAAATGTTTGATTTAGACACAGTTTTGCATATCTATTCAGCCTGTATTTATTAAATGATGGATAGTATGTATTAAATGCTATAGAAATAGAGATCATAGCCTGGAAGATGAAAAGTACAAATGTTAAGTATTATTGTTGCCTGAACCTATTAATACCTATCCTTAATAAATAATATCAAATCTGCCAAAGTGAACAAAATAAACTTCCCTCAACCCAACAGAACTAAAACTTTAAGTAATAAAATGCTGTACTGAATGCTCGATAATTGTACAATCACCCTCACTAAAATCAGCGCTGGGCTCTGGGTTGGAGTATTGTAAATTATTACTCTTTGAGGATGTGCTTTGCTTTAATTGGAGGAGAGTACATGACAAACTTACTTGTATGTATGTGCATTACTGGCCGTTACTGAAATGAATGTCAGACTTATGCAGATGCATAAGCATTCCTTTTCTTTAGTGTGCTGGTGGAACTGCTGCTGAGTTTGTTAAACAGAGTTTTGTGTTTGGGAGCAAAATGGCACAAGTTCTGTTGTGGAAACGGCTTCCACGTGCTTGGCCTATGCCTAGGGTGTCTGCATGTGACTAATTTGTTCCATTTAGTAATATGTGAAACAGCATGTGTCATATTTTGAACCTTTGATCTAAATGAAGAAAACAATGGCTAGTTCATTGTCTCAGACAACAGACACTGAAAAGAAATAAAGTAATAAAGCCAAAAAAGAGAGAGAAGATTACATTCAAGTTGCAATTCTTGATGTGATTGATTACTGTTTGTAGACTAGGGACCATTGCCTAATATCCTGACATAGGGCAACTGTGCTGTTAATCTTATGTGATCTATTTGTGTCTTGGAGATTACATCAGTTTTATTATATCACAGAACACTATAAAATAATAAAAGCACAAGTACATCACATTGCAAGGAATCAACTGACAGCTGTGTGAAAAACACATTGCGACATTTCTTTTCAGAGAACAGTGATTAAGAGTATCTTATTCATGGAGTAAAATCATACACTTTATAACAGTATGTGATTCTTTGTGTGATTATTGCAAAAAATATCAGACTGTCCTACATTGTCATGATGCAGGACATTTGGCACTAGAAAAGGGCATCCCTCAAAATAACAAACAGCTGATCTCCATAGCTTTTACCCTGTTCCGAAGAGGCTATTATTAGGAATGAGAGGGTTTTCCCATCCTCATTCTTTTAGTTTCTCTAGTGTATGCCAACAAAAATCATCAATTAATATCAACATGATGGCAGTTTTGTGATGCAGACCGCACTGTAAATCCTAGATACCATTGAATTTAGGGAGATATTCCGGATTTACACAGAATCTTCCATATATCCCAGTTCCTTGAGCCATACAGTGCATTTTAGCATCCTTGATTGACTACAGGGTGATTGTGAGAAATGACGTAGGTAAGGATTTTGTAACTAGAAAACAGATTTTCACAGAATTACTTAGTTATTTTGCCAGGTTAAATAAGAATGGAAAGGTCTTATGTATAATTCAGTGTAGTGAGCCTGGCAGAGATACTGAAGTATATCAAGATATCAGAAAAATGTAGGTTGTTCCAGTTATGGAATAATCATGAAACTAGAGAAGTTACTGGACAGTGAGTGGTACAAAAAGCATGTAGGGGGGAAGTTATCTACTGCTAAGACCCTGGAGAAATTCTAATAGACAGGGATATATTCTGATGCACTGGAGTTTTGTGAGCTTTGCACTGATTGCCAATTATTAACATCACCATAGGTGACTGAGACTGTTACTTTAATACCACTCTGGATGATGGAAGTGACTTGTTTGTTTTAAAAATAGTACTTATCCAATAAGCTCTAAATGTAGGGTCAAAAATACCACACACAAAGCAATGTGTATACAGGCAGTCCCCGAGTTACGCGGATCTGACTTATGTTGGATCCGCAGTTACGAACGGGGATTTCTCGCCCCGGAGGACTGGAGCGGCGGGACGCCTGGTCCCGCCGCCCGCCTCCTCCCGGGCGATAAAAGCTGCTCCCCATCTCCCTGGGCAGCTGGAAGCGCGGGGCCCGCCCCCGG